CTCCTCAGTTGAACTGTGAAGACGGGCTGGAAGAATTGCCTGTAGAACAAACAGGATGGTCTGAGCTGGACACAGGGCAAAGACTGCAGGGTTTGTGGGATTAAGAGAGAGATGAGTACACATTTCTCCCTGTCTCATCCTGAGAGTGAGAGTCCTAACCAGCTCTATTTTGCGATAGCAACCATTACTGACAGACCACCGAAAAGACGAAGAACAGGCATTCAGCATTCCAAAATTTTCTCTAGTGCTTTTCTTAAGACATAAATCATCTAACTCACTCCCCCAAAGACCTTTTAAATTCTAAGCCTGAGAACAAAATTATGGTTAAATGTTTAATTAATGTTTATTATAGCTAGTGTATTAGTTTTTGAAAGGTCAAATTTATGATACAATGAAGTAATATTTTTCCCACATTCTGTGGGTCTAATATATAGCACACCTGGGGCCATCGGGATAATAAATACCTTCCATTATTCTGTGGTGTTCTTTATATGCAAACCTGTGTGGGGCCAAGATAGATAGTGTTGGGTTTCTAGTTGAATGAGCGAGTATGAACCCTAGGCAGTGCCTTCATCTCTCAGGACTCCGCTTTCAGCTATAAACGATGCCGAAGAAATAAATCTCACGGTTTCTTCCATGTCAAAAATTGTAAGCATAATTGAACATTGTAAATTACTGCACAATGTACAGATTTATCTCTTTCCTTTTATAATATATCTTCATCCCAGCTATTTACTGAGTCCTGGCCCCCCTTTAGGAATGCAAATTCTGATGGCAACACTCTATCTGCAGGACAATAAAATCTACTTCACCACAACTTTGGGTTCATATGTCTCCCCTTTTCGATTCCACTTACCCACTGGATGGTGCATTTGTTCACCCTTGTCTGTTTTCTGATGCTATAACAGAACATTTGAAGTTAAATAACTCCTAAAGAATTTCGTTTGTCTCGCAAGGCTGATGCCTAGAGGGTCCACATAGCATGGTGCTGGTATCCTAAGGATATCCAGTGGCTTCACATCATGATGGAGAAGCAGAAAGAGAGCTGACTGCATGCAAGAGGGCGCATACCTTGCTTTAAAAAATAGCGCATTCTCATGAGAGCCAATGGACACTGGGAAGAGCACCAGTCACTACCTGCCCAGGTAGTGTTCCCGTGACCTAGCTGTCTGCCCAGGTAGTGTTCCCGTGACCTAGCTGTCTGCCCAGGTAGTGTTCCCGTGCCTACCCAGGTAGTGTTCCCGTGACCTAACTACCTTCCACCATGCCCACCTCCCAGCACACAAACCCTGGTAGCCTTTTGCGGTCACATGTCTCCTGAGAGATTATGTTTATGCTGTCTCCCACTCAGCCAGGCACTGCAGCTCACCTCACACGTCAGCTGAAGTTTGGGACTGAGCAGATTGTCAGAGAGACTCTATGGAGATCCAGGGGGACCTCAGTGTGCTGAGGACACACCGGACAGTATGATGTATGGGAAATAATCAACGCAGCCCTTTGTCACAAACTGGGGTCTATAAGTCATATAGAGCCCCCAGATCTGAATTCGGCAGAATAGGGGGCTATAAATTATAAAACACACTCTCAGACATCAGAATCCAGGTCCAGTAGATGAGGGTCCTTTCCTCTGTGATCCTAAAATGACTTCTCCGTTTCCTGGAACCTTTGCCCTCCAGGTCCCACAGAAAAGCAAAGGAAGAGGGAAGGCCTGACAAGTGGAGTCAAGCACGGTCCTCTGATGCCACTGACAGGGTATAACTAAACCCTGCTGCTGGCTCATGCTGACTCTTGCTGCCCCTAGCAAGGCCATCGCCTTGATTGCTAGCTGGACCATCCCTACTGGGTCCTGCACATTTTCATCTGACTAACCTATCAGATTGCCACTTCTTGTCATGCTACCTTCGTTTGGGGGTTGCATACACCTTTGTTTGGTGATCCAGGTAGGCACAAAACTCCTGCCTGGGCAGGATACCCATGATAATGATGTCTTACAACTGGCCAACACTCTAACTAGGGCACCTAAAACAGTGATGAGTGGGATTTCATTAAGATCTTCCAGCTTCCATTTAAGTATAAAAAGTTAAAGAATGTCACTCCTACTTGCGCAGCAAAAAAAAAAAAAAAAAATTCAAAAGCTGATTCACCGTCGTCAGAATTTTTTCACAAACCCTTCAGCAGAGACCACAGGGCCATAATTGAGTTAGGACAGAGGCCTCTAAGGACACAGGCGATCCGCGAGGTGGCTCTCCTACAGCGCAGCACCTGCCGATGAGGCCACTGTGCCTAGGTGTGCAGGAAGACAGCAGCGAGGCCTCTGTAATGGACTGATAAATTTTAATGACTTTCACATTTTGATGATTTAGCAGAGCATGAAAGGCTAGCGCTGGCAGAAGCAACAGACACTGGGTAATTTGTGCCCTCTCTGACTCTGCTGCGCCGATCTCAGAGTGCTTGGAAAAAAGAGATTGGGGTCAGGGTCTCCAAAAAAAGGGAGTCTCTAATGGCAGTGCAGGTAAACAAGGGAGGAACTGAAAATGGGAGGAGCATATTTACAGATACATGGGGAAGGGCAGCAAGCACACAGAGCAGACAAACAAGACCCCCTGGAGTTGGAAAGAAGGAAAAGATCCTCTTCTGAGCATGGCAGGAAAGTAGTCCAAGAGAACCACTTAAAGGCACCAAGCAGTTTGTCATGAGGGAAAAATGTCCTCAGGGTCACTGGGGAGGCTGAGGGCCAATACCCAGGGACTGTGGATGAAGAAGATGAGAGAGCACCCCTTCCCTTAAGGCACTAATGTCCAGTGACAACCTTAGTGCAGGAGAAGGGGCAGAAAGAGGCCAGAGAGTCACGGGAAAGTCTAAAGCTCCCTATCACACAATAAGCAAAGACACAGCCATCACGAAGGTACTAACACAACTGGACAGAGGCACCTGCAACGGGGATAAAAAGGAACGAATTGCAGAGACAAAAAAACACCATCAACAGTTTTGCTCATCTCAAGGACATTGCCAAAACGGTAAAGAGATAAGCAGTGGACTGGGAGAAAATAAAAAGGAACAGAACGCACATGGAGAATACGTATAAAACACACAATGAGGAACAAATTCAGCGGACCTAAGAGAGGAGCAGCTAAGACTTGACTGGAAGGTTCAGCGGTTGGACAGCGAGCATCAAGGTTCTTGGTCTTTACTTTAAATGCATGTGGAAGCTGTAGGCCCTCAGTGACCAGCCTGAACTCTGGCTGAGGCAAGGCTAGTGAAAACTGGACGCGAAGGATGTCGGCTGAAAATCTGTATAGCCTTTTTGGGGGGAACTATTTAAGCATTTGTTCACTCAAGCTACCGCCACTCAAACCTTGTGATTTACCCGCTCTGCTTCTCCAGACGCAACAGAAATAAGCATGTCTGTTCAGGAAGGCGTGTCTGATTGTGTTCAGAATAGCAAAAAAAAAAAAAAAAAAATCAGAAAGCCATATAAACTGTATGTGTATAAAATAAAATACTACCCAACACACAACACTATAAAGAACAAATTACTCCAGCATGAAACAAGGTTCAAACAAAATACGATGAGCACAAGGAGCAGAAAGGCCGTGTCCTCAGTGGTTTGCTGTGCATCAAACCCCTGGAGCAGACATCACATCCATAGAGATAAAGCCAGAGAGAAGAGGGGGTAAGCCATGAGCAAGCCTCCGAGGCACAGAAATTCACTTTATATGCACTATATCGTACTCGACGTTTCCATGGGGTAGAATACGTGAACTTCACTCCATAGCTCACTTTAGAGCCTGGCTGCACATAGTTACCCCAGAGCAGCACAGCATGGCTCATGGCACAGGTCAAGGGCGAATGGCGATGCTCACAGTGTGGACAGAGGCAGTCTAGCAGCGCAAGGACTTGTCCAGCCCCTGACCCTGTGTTTTCCCTGTCCGGCTCCAAGAGTGAGAAACACGTGCCAGCTCTGTAGCCTGAGGTAGATCAGCCTACAAGAGGCAACCTCTACTTTCTTAGGTTCCAAACTCATGAAAAGGAAATCTCCCTACTTTTTAAAACATGTCAAGCCAGCATGTTTTTAGTTTTTTTTTTTTTTTTCAAACAGGCATTTGTTTTTAGCTATATTAGAACTATACCATAATACTTGCCAGGCTTCTTTTCTATTAAGAGAATAAAACTTCTTGCTGTGTCCCCCTATATTACTTAGCATTGTAAACTAAGATGCCTGTATCTTGTTGCACGTGAACACAACTTGTTCAGTGGCCCCTGTGACTGCAGAGGAACGTGCACTTGCTCCAGCAGAGTGGCAACCCCTGCCTTGAGTTCTCACGCGGAGACAGCATCTCTGCATCTGCCTGTGTGCAGCAGACACACTCCGTCCCTCCCACCAAAGTTCACGGAGCACACTGAAGCCCCCCTCACTGGCTCAGAGGAGGAACAAAGCCCCAGCTACACCCTTACATTTTGCTGAGGGCTACACACGGCCACTGCATGTTCCATGTGAATCTTCTTGGCCATTTTAGCTCTTCCGTGTGAATGGGGTCTGACTCAGTGTCGGGCAGGTCCATCTAGCCACACCTGGCAGCACCTCTGGCCAATGTTAGATGTCACCATCAACATTCCAATATTGACATCCCGTTACAGTAACTTTAGGTTGAGCTTTCTAGAAGTGCTGAACGCTGGCCATTTTTTACCTGAATGAATTGCAATATCTTACATTTCAAACCAACAGTTTTCCTCAAGATGGGCTTTCCAGAGATTTGAGCTTCAAGTAGAATTTGAACAGATGGTAGACTTTTTTGTTGTTTTGGTTTTGATTTTCATGTTAGAAGACAGGGTTTCTGTGTAGCTCTGGCTGTCCTCGAACTCAGCAGACCAGGCTGGTCTTGAACTCTGTCTGCCTCTGCCTCCTGACTGCTGGGATTAACGACGTGCACCACCATCACCTGGCATTGGTAGATTCTTAGTGTCCACCTGGCATCAAAGCACCCACTGCGACGTCTTACCTTGGCCTTCAGATCAGCACACAGCTCCCGCTGCCGTTTCCTGTCCTTGGCCAGTATGCTCTCCGTCTCATGGGCTGCCCAGGCCTCGAGGAGGATCAGCAGAGCTTTCTGTATGAAGTCTTTCCTGCTTTTGGTCCAATTGTCTATCAGGATTCTTCTCTGCTCTCCAGCAAAGTGATACTGGTCACAGTATTTCTCATGTTCTACCTACAAAGGTAACAGACGGCGGTGACTTAGCATTCTGAAACAAGCCTGGATTTTATGTCCCCGTTAGGAAATGGATAAACTTCATTTATAATCAAGGGGTTTGAACAAGTAGGGACAAACATCCTCGCCATAACCAGGAACAAGACACGAGCTCCAGTCTTCAGAGACTGTGCCTAACTGGCAACTAATGATACCACTGACTCTTAATTCTAAATGGCAATGTTTCAACGGAGAGCAATCTGTCTCCCATATGCAATTTTAAATATTCCACTTTAAATCAATTTTGGTATTTTAAATGATTACATTATGTTTCCCTTAAACAGCATACTTTGATAAAACACTTTTTAGTGCCATGATAATCGTAGAAAGTCAGTTTTGCCTTTCGTCACTAAAGTGATCAGCTGTGAGGATGCTTAAAAGTAGTTCTGGTGATGACACCTTCCGGCCTTTCCCCACCCCCATGAGGGACATGACTTCTCATGGGGGCTGCGGGCGCTTCTTCTCCGGGAGGCACAGAGTGCTGGGGGAGGCGCAGAGATGGGGGAGTCTGGCAGGTCTGAAATCGCTGCAGGGGATTCGGAAAACAAGAGTCGCCGCTGGAAGGGACCTTTCACTTTCCTAGCATGTCCCACACCTCTTAGTCGGATCAGTTATTTGATCCCTGAGTGGCGAGGGTTTAGGAAGAAAAGCAAGATAAGATATGCCCCACATAAAGCGATGCTTCAGGCAGAATTAGGAGCAGGCCATGGTCTGACTTTAACCAGATACAGCACACAGTCTGTACACTTCTTAGCTTCGTTCTATAAAGCTAAAAATACACTCAACATCTGTCAAGCATCAAGGAAAGGAAGCACATGCCGTGCAGAAATATATGGTGATCAATCCAACGTAGAAAGTAAATGTAAAAATCTTTATCACATCAATAGTAATAAAATATAAAAATCTAGATTTACGCTTGATGGCTAGCTGCAGAGGCAAACAGAACTCAGGGAATAAAAAGAAACCGCTAATTTGATCAATTAAGAACTTTTTAATGATTTTTAATGAGGTACTTAAAGACCAAAATTAAATATTTACTACATGGGGACCTGACCCAGCACCATCAAGGGAAGTAGGGCCACACAAGCCTGGCCTTGGGTGGTCTGCCCAGGGTGGTGAGGAGAAAATGCCTGTGCCTGCTCCGCCACAGAACAGCACTATTGTAGTGAGCAAAATGTATGGTAGGGTGAGAGAAAGAGAGAGAGGGAGGGAGGGAGGGAAAGAGGGAGGGAGGGAGGGAAAGAGGGAGGGAGGGAGGGAAAGAGGGAGGGAGGGAGGGAAAGAGGGAGGGAGGGAGGGAAAGAGGGAGGGAGGGAGGGAAAGAGGGAGGGAGGGAGGGAAAGAGGGAGGGGGGGAGGGAGAGAGGGAGGGAGGGAGGGAAAGAGGGAGGGGTAAAGGACATGAGGAACGGACTAAGGTGGATGGCCTGGCCTGCTTGCCACTGGAAGCCATGGAGATGCCCAGGCCTAGGCTGCTGCCAAGGCCCATGTCCGGGTGTGTGGCCCTGCTGCAGCCCCAGTCTGGCTTTGCAACCTGTAACAGTATCTTCTATAGTGGGGGAATAAAGACTTTTCAGAGCACTAGCTTCTCATTTAGTGTTTTCGCTGCTGTAAAGAGACACCATGACCATGGCATTGCATAAAGAAAGCATTTCATGAGGGTGGCTCACTTACAGTTCCAGAGGTTCAATCCATTATGATCAGGAAGGGGGGGGGGAGCATGGCAGTGTGTGTACCGGCAGACACGGTGCTAGAGCTGAGGATGCTGTGTCCTGCAGGGAACAGGAAGTTGACTGACTGACACACTAAGGAAGCTTGAGATGGAGACCTCAGAGCCTGCCCCCTCAATGACACACTTCTTCCAGCAAGGCCACACCTCCTAATAGTGCCACTCCCTTTGGAGGTTTTCTTTCAAACCACCAAAACATAAATTTGTCTTACTAACTAGGGACCCCTGAACTCCGCAATTCACATGCATGTAGGATATACATATTCATCATCAGGATATGCACTCACCAAAAGATGCCTAGATTTGTGAGGAAAGTATCTTTGTAACATGTCCAAGTACAGAGTCCTCCTGCCAAGGAGATTTCCAGGGTACTGATCTAAGACAGCCTGGTAAATCCACTGCTCTTCTTCGCTTAGCTGGAAGTTTCTGGAAGCAATAAAAACGTCACAATACAGACATGAGCAATCATGGAGTTTAAGGGACTTCTAATAATCACAGAGGAAGAGGCTTTCTTTGAAGATAGTATCTTACTATGGTTGTTCAGGCTGATCTCAAGAGAACCCCAGTGTCACCCCACCCCTACCCACCTAAGCCTGGAAAGAAGGACCATGGGAATGCACCGACATGCCCAACTGAGGCATTTTTCCTTAGTGCTAACCACTGATCACTTTCCAGAGAAGTACTAAGCCCACCTACAGTGGATTTATTCAGTTGTTGGTTTGATCTTGCCAGTGTTCCAAGCACAACTTGAAGATGTTGGTGAGACACAATATTCTCTTAATATTCTAGTTTGCCTTTAGCAGTATTCTACTTCTTTATTTTAATTTATTTATTTTTCAAAGCAATCTTTTCTGCCTTTAGCAATATTTTAGAAACCGTCACCAGTGAATGAAGTAGATAAACACTGGAAAATAGTTATTAGGGATAAAGACTAAAAAGACATTTTTCTTATTCAACAAAGTCCCCATTTCTCCACTAGAGCAAAGCACAAATGTAAATAGATGAACATTTTACATAAAGGGAAATAAAGACAGACTGGCATTTATTTGAGATCTGCACTCTGACGCAAGTCAAATAATCTTTTACTTTATTCTCTTTACCTCCTGCTTTGTGGATAACACCACAGACTGGTGGTGGGAAGAACAATGGTGCTGCGTTTCTGGTGACTAAATAATAACTTGATTTTGGTTGATTTCATTGCATGTATTGTGTGTGTGTGTGTGTGTGTGTGTGTGTGTGTGTGTGTGTGTGTGTACGTACACACACGGGCACCCAGGAAGTTGTAGAACCTCTAACCGGAGTTCTCTGCTATGGGAGCACATTCCGCTCCTTCAGCCAATAGCATTTAAGACACCAGCCCACTTGGGCATGGTCGCTTATACTGTAAATGCAGCGGTAAAGTGTGTGCTGGCTCTCTCGCTTCTGGCTCCTACTTCCAGCAGCTAGCCTCTGTTCCTGTTTGCACAGAGGATGGTTATCTAGGACAGGGATCTGTAAGTTTCCCTTAAATAACCCTTTATTATTCATAATTCTGAACTGGTGTTGGGATTATTTTGTGATTTCCATCATCAGTTCTCTCCTATCATTTGGCTTTCAGGGGTTGAAATCAAAATCATGCGGCTTGGTGGAAAGACCTTTACCAAGAAATCACTTGTAAACAAGACCCTGCACATGCCCTAGGCATGAGTCCACTCCGTTCCAACATGCCTAGTCCCTTCTTTTTACATATATAATTTATTTAACATTATTTTATGTGTATTAGTAGGAAGGTATCATATCCCACAGAACTGGAGTTACAGACAATTGCAAGATAGCATGTGGGTGCTGGGGATTGAACCTGGGTCCTCCAGAAGTGCTTTTAAACACTGAGCCATCTCCCCAGCAACCCCCCAACTTCCCACTCCTTTTAGGCGCTGGGATGATTCATGATCTACATGAAGCATTGACAAAGTCTGGTGCAAAGTGAAAAAGTTGCACTGTCAGTTTGAACTCTAAACTGAATTAATGCCTCTTTATATTCTGATTTTATTTGCATGTTATTACTCCCGTTAAGTAAATTAGAATAATTAAATACAGATGCAATCAGAGGAACTATTAATAGTAATGAATATTTCTTTGATCCAAGACAGATTACCATTGTTTGTTTCTACTGTTATCAATGATCTTACAACTTAAATTATGCAATTCAATTTTTTTCCTGGTATCTTTCTGCCTCTGAGAAACATTTGACATTGCAAGCAAATAAGACACCTTTAGGTGAGAGTAACTAATGGGAATTCCACCATCCTCACACAAGGTCATCTAGTTTCTTTAGTCCACTGATAAGGAGCAAGAGAAAAACAATTTTAAAAGAGAAAATTCTCCATACCTACTACATCCAGGGAAGAAAAGAGAGGGTGGGAGATGGTCCATCCAAAGGAAACTGTTCAGTGTGTCATAATGATCGAATTCGGGAAAGGTATCAAATGTATTCATTCATGAATACATGAGTGTTTTGGTTCCAACTGGATTGGTTCTGCATGTGCAGACAGCCAAAGGCTTCTGCAAATAAAACATCTCAAGTAGGAAAATTAACCCAGGAGCAAAGCTTCCCTGAGTGCACTTGGCATTTAAAGTGCCCTCGGGTTGTCAAGGACAATGCCTCTGGTCCCCTCTCAAGGACCATTCTCATGGGAATGTGCATCATTTTAACAGTGGTTAGCAGGAGAAACTCTTCAGTACCCATCCCACAAACGATAGAAGACTGGAACTAAAGTCCACGTCCTTGTTAACGTTTTAAATTCTTTCTAAAATCAAAGGGCCTTGAGCACAGCTGACTTTCCATCCTTATCTGATTCGTATGTACGTGGGTTTTCTCCAAAGGGGAAAGGGACAGAACCCTCATCCAGTAAGTGTCTGTCCTTTTAAACTACTATCCAGCTATACAACAATGGCTGTTTCTTAGGGGGGTCTCCATCACCAAGATACTGTGAGTCTTGGCTGGTGACATCTAGAGACCCTTCTCTTCTATGGGAAAACTTCCTGGGCCAGAGCAGAAACACCACATTCTGAGACTCCCCTCCTACACCATTTCCAAGGTCAACCGCTAATAGCAGCTGACTATAGATATAGGTCAACAAGGTTAGCCAGGTAAATTCCCTCTAAAGGGGCCAACGCTGGTGCCAGTCTAGCCCAATTGACATCAGCGTCAGCCTCCACCGAGATGCCCTCCCGCCTAGGCATTCTCCCCTCTTCCTCACAATCTATATCTTAGCACATCCTCGAATAATTCCGGTGTTCTAGGAGCCTGTCTTGGTTTTGTTTCTGCAGAACTCAGCCTAATATAATCCACAAGCAACCTTAGCCATAATTTTCAAAAACGGCTTGAATGGCTTGATAGACAAGTAGATTTAAACTAATTACTTTAAGGTTTTGCCTACCAAATAGTGGCGCAAGATTGTAGCTGTCCACAATGTGTGAACAGCAGACGTTCAAATGCAAGCACACATTCAGCAGTGCACACTGCTATAAATAAATACATAGGCAACAGAAGAATCTGTTGCATTTGGTTTACTTTTATAAATTGTGTGAGTATATTAGTTGCTATTTTAATGACATTTAAAAACACTTAAGTGTTTGAGATGACTATAAAACATTTAAGCCAGATGTTTCAAGCTAAGTAAGCACTGTACAGCAATGACATCCATTTTGACCTTCCCGTTGATTTGAGAAGCTCCACGTCTCAGCTGTCTTGTTCTATTTACTAAAATTACACAAGTGGTAAGTCATTTTTCCAGTGCATAAAAAGTAAAATTTAAAAAAAATACATGCTGAAAGGAAATGACATGTACAATATCATAATATCATTTCTAGAATAGTTATAGCAGTTTCCAGAGGAGCAGGCCTAAATCTTAAGGCAAATATTCACATGGGTAATAATAACAGAACAACTACACATATCCATTAGATTGCTGTTTGGGAGGTAAGAGAGAAGATTCACCACTGCATACGGACCTACATACATGTGCACACACATGTCCATGCATGTGCAGAGAGATAAGAGACAGAGAGAGCGCTGGCACAGTAAAATCCAGAAGAGTGAATGTTGTCATAGCAGTTTCCTCAGAGCAACAGAGCAGCCATTTCTTAGAAACATGCCTTTTAGACTCTAAAATTATATTTGACATACGGGTGCTTCTAAACAAAATCTTGAACATTTATCTCTCATAATCAAACCTTGATTTTTTTTTCTTATTACAAATCAAGTGCAGAAAATAACCAAGACAGAGTTAGTTTTTAACTTACAAAGTTCTGGTTCAAGTTAACCAGTTCCCTGGGGATTAAGGCAACAAAACACACACTAAGCTACATGGTTAAATTTTTTAAAAATCCCTTATCTACTTTCTGAAATAGAAAATTGCTTTAAGTTTTAAAGTTTCCTAAAGAAAACACTAAAAGTATCCTAAATTTTTGCGACTAGAAATATCTCAGACAGGGGCTCAAGAGACTGACTCAGGAGTTAAGAGCACTAAGACCCAGGTTCGATTCCCAGGAACACATGGCAGCTCACAGCCATTTGTATCTCCCATCCCAGGGGATAGGATGTGCTCTTCCAGCCTCTGTGAGCACCAGGCAAGAATATGGTGCATAGGTATAAATACAGGCAAACACCCACACATATAAAAGCATAAATTAATTAAAACATACCTCAGAGCGAAAAGAAAAGTTTGCTAGCTACTTACCATTTCTACTTTATTGGTTTATCCAAATTTTATAATTAAAGGTGTTTTGTAACTTTTGCTCTCCTTAGAGCTCATCCAGACTTCTCAGTTTGCTTGTTTACCAAGCACTTCTAACAGGATTTCAGTGTGCAGAGACCAAGACATGTGGCCCTAAGTCCCCACTCACTCGCCTCCTCCCCCATACATACCATTTCATTAGGATTTTCTAAAAGGTGAAGCAAATTAAGTCATTCATAAAACAAAGAACTAATATAGATGGATGTTTCTGTCCACCCAGGCCCGCAGCTATTCAGTCCCAAATAGACACACAGAGGCTTATATTAATTACAAACTGTTCGGACTATCACTCAGGCTTATTATTAACTAGCTTTTATGACTTAAATTCAGCCATAATTCTGGGCTGTGTCTAGCCATGTGGCTTGGTACTTTTTTACAGTAAGGCTTTCTCATCTTGCTTCTTCTGTCTGGCTGGTGACTGCTTCTGTTTTTCCTCTTCCCAGATTTTTCATAGTCTGGTTGTCCCACTTATACTTCCTGCCTCACTGCTGACCAATCAACCAATATTTATTAAATTTATTAAACCAATATGAGTGACAAATATTTACAGTGTATGAGTATTATTACTGTGTATAAAAGCAAACTAAGATGAATTCTACTAAATTTCATGCATTTGAGTCATTCCAAAAAGCCTATGTTGACTTGCTA